AGAAAAACGAAGCTGGGTCGCTTTCTGGACACAACGCCCAGTAACTCTTGAACTGTCCGGTCGCTACCCATCCCCCGGCAGTTCCAGCTTAGAACACTCATTGGGCTGGGCGGATCTGGACCGCCAGACCCGCCGGAGATGATATATAGGTGTTCTCTGTCATAACCAAATCATTCAGACTTTCGTTGTCTTCCCTGCGACGTTTGAGGTCGCCATGCAGCGCCCCATTTTCCTCCTCTTTTCTTTCTTCTTTCTTCTCACTTCTTTTGTTTATTTTCCCTATTCAATACTAAATATGTATAATAAGAATTTGGTTCATATTAGAATCACTCCTCAGGTAAGAACGTGTGAAAAAAATCAAACCATTAATCTACAATATTTGATAGATAGGAAATCAAATAAAAAAGGAGTAAAGTCATTTCATAAATATAAAAAAAAAAATTAAAATTTGTAATATTTATGAAAATAATTCATTCTTTTTTTTTTGTTTATTTTAAACCGTTAGATCTACTAGATCGATGATTTTGATTTGTCCACAGGTTCTCACCTGGAAGCCTATATAGTAATATTTATTATATTATTATAATAAAATATGTGATTATAATATTTTAATTTATGATATTGTAATTTATAAATTATAATTTTAATTTATAAATTATTATTATTTTTATCATTATTATTGTGTAAGGGCATGTTGGTCTTTATACTCATTATTCTTTACAATTCCAAATTCAACCAAGCAATGTAATCAAATCTTCATAGTAATTTCTTTTCTATTGAATTTAAATTCCATTCCTCCCCAATTATTTTCTATGAACAGTAGGAGTTTGGATTTGGGTTATACAGTTTAATGTTGAGTCTCGAAGTTAGATTGACTCAATTTACCTCTTCATAAGCCTAGAAACAGGTTCATGAGATCCATGATATAGTTCGGTGAAGTCGAAAATTTTGGATTTTAACACCAAAAAAAAAACACAAAACTCAAATAAAAGCCAAGACCTTGTGGTCTAATGGCACCCGGATTGGACTCCCATATGGGAGGTTGTGAATTCAAGCCTCAGTGGAGGTACGTTGTTGGCTCTTTGTGCTTCAGTAGTTATGAACAGATACTACATTGTAATAGAGTCAGTAGTATTCAAAAAAACTCAAATAAAAATAAAATGTGGCCAAGATTTCAACTCTCATAGTTCAAAAATATCTTGGGACATAGGAAAATGTCCACGTACATGAAAATTGAATGTGAAGTTAATAAGCACCTGCTTGTGCCTTATGGCTAACCAACCTTCAACTTTATTCTTGGTACCTTTTGGCAACAAACTTTCCAAAATAGGAAACTCCTTCTAGATAAGCATAACGTGACAACTCCAACGTGCAATGTTGTAAATGATCTAAAGTAGATGCCAACCAAAATTCATAAGAAATACAGCAAGATTATTATGCACATATTTCTAACTTGGAGGGTGTGGTTAAGTGGAATGGACTCATCATTCATCATTAACTAAAGTTCAAGGGTTCGATGATTGACTTTTGGGTATGGATCAGCCTTAAATCTCCAGGCCAACTATCCCACCCAAAAGAGGTGCCCTCTCCAGACTAGTTGTCCCACCCAAAAGAGATGCCTACAATTCAACGATGAGATTAGTCATTATTTCAACGGACAACGGTGAAAACCCTGGATACACCAAAAAAAAAAAAATTTATTATGCACATATTTCTTAAAAATCAAACAAGATTACTAAAAATAACGTAGTCGAGATATACTTTGCAAAAGATTTTGTAACCATTCAAACACCAATATTGTCTGTTTAAAATGAAAAAGAAAAAAAAAAGGCCAAGTAACTATATATATACTTTTTTTTAAAAAAAAAAAAAAAAACCAAGAAAAACGAGATTTATTAATCACTCAAACGTAAATGCTGAATACAATCAAGATAAGAAAAAACTAAGAACCAAGACCAGACTGAGAAGCCGCTGCTCTAGCTAACACATGACTAGACTCTAAAAAATTTCTATATGAAGAAATTAAATTAATTTGCCATTGAGTTAGTAAGACTTAAAACTCCATGGCACGAGGTTAGGAGGCTAATTTCAATTAGAAATAATATTGAGTGGTCTATCTTTATGTAATTTATATAGAGAGTTTTCAAACTTTACAATTTTAATCACTGAAGATTCAAAACATCATTTTAATTAATTAGAAACAACGGTTTTATTAAAAAAAAATTATTGTCTTTTACTAAAAAGACAAAAATATAGGGGTGTTTGGTAAATATATACCTGTTAGCTGACTAAGTTAATTAGTGAGTTTGATTAGTTGATTATAGAAAGATGTTTGGTAAATTAGCTGTTAGCTGATTACATGAAAAAATGACTTTCTCAAAAATTGGTCGAATTTTTTTTTTGAATTTTAGTATTTGGAGCAATAAACTGTTACAAAAAGATAATTAATCGAACACTCATATTGATTGTTTAACCAAGTAAAACAACTAATAATGATCAAACAAATCAAAATTAATTGATAAGCTAATTATGTTATCAAACAGTACCAAAGTCTAAAATTGTTGTATTTTAAGTGTTATGTATTATCATATTTTTAATCTTGTATAAATATATATATATATATATATATATATATATATATATATATATCAGGATGTCAACTTAATAACCACAATTAAATGTTGAACATAATATAGAGTTAATCAACGATTTGGTCCCTCAATTATTGTTAAACTGTGAATGTAGTCCTCTAATTCCTTAATCATCGATTTAGTCCCCGAAAATAATTCTTTTTAGTCATTTTAGTCCCTCCGTCCATTTTCCGGCAACACTCCGGTTAGACCTCCGATTTACCAGGGTCAATTTTGTCATTTCATTTGTTTATTCACTCCAAGGAATATTTCTCCTGCGGTTCTAGCAAGTGCTAGCAAGTATCCGGCACTCGATTCTTCCGGCGGAGAAGCTGGAAGCGGAGCCAGCGCTGATGGAAGTCGTGGGTTCGAGGACGGTCTCCGGCGTGAACAGGTCGTCTCCGAACTCCGGCTCTGGCAACACCAGAGAGTCCCGGTTGCATATGTGATCGGATAATTTCACCCCTGTTTTCATCATGTGTTGAAGCTGAGGAAAAACAAGGAAATACCCAAAATTGATCAGCCAATTTTACAAACAGAAGCTAATTAATCACCACTGCAAAAAAAAAAAGTAAAGATTTAACCTTGCATGCAGGAGATGGAGCAGAAGAGGACGGATTCTTGAACGGCTCTGTCACATATAATGCAAAGCTTTGCAGAGCCTCTGCAAGGCCTTGTGATCAGTCTTTCATTCAGAAACACAACTTTCTCACTATTAGTAATATAAGTCTGCAAAATCACACGAAAAAGGAAGCTAAACACAACAAACAAAAATCCCATGTCTCAAACATTGTTAAAATCAAGAAATGAATGGATACATACTTGAACAGAAACACAGTCCAGCAATTTCTCAGCATCCTTCAACCTCAAAACATCATGGTAGATATACCTTCTTACCTATCACAACAACCCACAAATTCATAATCTATAATCAATCATCCACACAGTAAAATGTGATATCTTTATATATAAACCTGCAAGAGACGATGGAAGCGGTGAGGGGTCAAGCAATGAGGGCAAATGGCAACGCAACAGTCCAAGCAAAATATATTCTTTTCCTTATCCGATCACATATGCAACAGGGACTCTCTGGTGTTGCCGGAGCCGGGGTTCGGAGACGACCTGTTCACGCCGGAGACCGTCCTCGAACCCACGGCTTCCATCAGCGCTGGCTCCGCTTCCAGCTTTTCCGCCGGAGGAATCGAGTGCCGGATACTTGCTAGCACTTGCTAGAACCGCCGGAGAAATATTCCTTGGAGTGAATAAACAAATGAAATGACAAAATTGACCCTGGTAAATCGGAGGTCTAACCGGAGTGTTGCCGGAAAACGGACGGAGGGACTAAAATGACTAAAAAGAATTATTTTCGGGGACTAAATCGATGATTAAGGAATTAGAGGACTACATTCACAGTTTGGCAATAATTGAGGAACCAAATCGTTGATTAACTCCATAATATATGCAGAATAATTAACATGCTTTCTTCCTATGAGTTTAAACACGGATCAGAACATATATCTCTTATTTTTAGAGATATCTACTCTACTACACTAAATCCAATAACTAATAATTAAGTGAGTAGCATGTTCAATCACAATCAAATTGGTTACATTGTTAATTTGGTAACTATAAGGTTCTAAAGTTGACTCTTAATGTGAGTGATCTATTCACTTTATTGGTTTGAATCGGTTGGTTCATCTCTTTATGGCCCTTTGTCAGCTAAGTGTCGTCACATTGTGAGGACTGTTTGGTTGGATGTAGTTGTAATTCAATTTCAACATAATTCTTTGGTCACCTGAATTACAGTGTTTGGTTGGAGGGAATTGCAATTCCCTCATTTTGTTGAATTGCAATTCATACCCTCCCCATATGAATTGCAATTCGATGGGGAAAGGAAAGGGAAAAAAGAAAAAAATGACTTTTTTATCCTTAATTATTATTATTAGTATTAGTATTACACAAGGACATTTTAGTCTTTATACCACTTCTTCCCTTCCCATTCTCAATAATTCTATTCCTCCCAACCAAATAATGTAATTTAAACTTCCACCATATTTTTTTCCCACCAAATTACAATTCATTTCCCCCCTAAGTACTTCTTTCTAACCAAACGCCAAGTTAAATGGATAGACAGAGAAATGCTTTCAACGTTGATTTGTTTAAGGTCACGCCAATATTTCCCTTTAGGGAAAGGTGAGAGATTTTTGAAGTTCTTCTTTACTACATGTGCAAAAAACTAACATATGTTTCACGTGGTTTTTAAAGTGCACATGATTTTGATATTTTAGTTTGTGGCTACGCATGTTGTAATGATGGAGGATCCAAGATTTACAATGGACTCCTTCAACCCTTCTATATAAATGTTTCCTAGTCTTTAGGACATTTGGCTGCTCAAGTTTCTATAGAACGAAAGAGAGAGAAATAGAGAGAGAGAAAGAAAGATATGTTGTTTCTAAATGTCTCCTTCTTATAACACTTGATAAGGTGAAGGGGAGAAAAATATTAACTTTTCATTTGATAGTTTTATGTTCTATTTTTTATTTGTTATAGAAATATATACAGGCCGGGAAAAAAAATAAGCATGATGAAGAGAAAGAGTGACACTTCTTTGCCATATTCAAAGTTCCAAATTCATTCGGTGTAAGTTTTTATATATTTCTCAGAATTTCTGTATATGTGTGCGGGTGGTTTTTTTTTTTTTTTTTTTTTTTTTAGTTAAAATGAACAAGTACCATGATTAGTTTTGATTTCACGTATACCCACGAATGATACAAAATCATTCTGGGTTGTATATATGTTTATATGCATGCCTCGTTCTTCTTCTTTTCCTTTGGATGACACACACATGACACATTATGGTTTAATTTTGTTATTTTACAGATTTGAAGTATTTCAATATTTTTTTTCGTGAGACAATGATATTACACTATATTTTGTATTTCATTGTAAATTATATTTAGGGTTAATATAATTTACTCCCTATTGGCTTGTAATTTTTTAATTTTCTACTAAAATTTTTTTGAAATATCAAATCTTTTAAACAATTTGTTTGTATTCTAACTATATATAACTAAATATAATTTCTTGAAAATTTTATTTATTGATTGATGATGTGTTTGGTAATTTATACTTTACCTTGCACTTGGATATATAGGGCATGTCCATCCCTCAGAAAGAGAATTACAATTTTGTACAATTCAAAAACTGGTTTCAGTGATGATGCATCTGAGCTGCAGGTACATTATTGACAATTCTGGTTATATTTCATTCATCTTTTCCAATTTGAATGAAAGCAAGAATTGAGAAAGTAATTCTAATGTCATATATATATATATATATATATATATATATATATATATATATATATATATACATATATATATATATATATATATATATATATATATATATATATATATATAAAATTAAAAAAAAAAATTAGCAAGACCAACTCGGCTAATTCAGCTAGTTCGCCGCTAACTGCCTTGGGGGTAATTTGTCTCGGCTTAGGGGCGCCTAGCGCCTAGACGACCACTTAGACCACTTTTTGCAATAATGAATACCATATGATTTGATGAGATCACTGTTACTTTCCATAAGGAAGGTCTCAAACGTTCGGATCTAATTATTGAACATATAGTGCTAATAGGTTACTAGTATTATATGATTTTGATTTTGATTCAATACTAGCTATATAAATTATAATTTATATTTTATGTGTATTGGAAAACATACAGATCCTAGGCATCCTTTGGCTTGCAAGAAGAGAAGTGGAAGAAAAAGACAACATTAAGAGATCAAATTTGAGGTTGTCATCTCCTCATCAACATCATCACCAATGGCATAGCCCTCTTACTCCTGCAGGGTTGTCTCTGAAGAAATCTTTGCAAAGATTTTTGCAGAGGAGAAGAGACAGGATTAGAGCTGCAGCCATTAATTAATCCTTACTAATAACATTATTAATTACTCCAATAATAATAAATCATGCATTAAGAGCTGAGGATAGATGCAGATATCATCATCCTAGCTAGTATCAAGGATATATATATATATATATATATATATATATATATATATATATATATATATATAACTCCTGCTCATTATTAGTCATGTTACAAATTTATCCACTTTCCTTCGTTTATTACCATTTGGACATCATTTATAGCATTGTTTAAGAGTTGATCTAGTCAATTATTAATACCACCATGACAAAAACATATTGGGATTATAATATTCTTATTTGATTACCGAATTCTCTAGAACTATAAACATTTTAATAGTCTATTACAAATCTAGTTTGGATAAATGTTCAAATATATTTTTTTGGATTTTTTTTACATACGATATCTAGTATCCCCATCATCAATATCAGACTAATTTAGATTCGCCCTGAAACACGTCTCTAGATTCATATCGACTTACACTTACAAAGTTTGACTCTTACTCAATGAAAATCTTGATTGTTGGAGGAATTACCACTGACCTTTAATGGTTTGACAACTAACCTAGAGTACAAACGGAGCTACATCTAGACAACAAGCATAAGTTATTCTTTAAAAAAAACAAACAACAAACCTAGCTTGAAACTCAGCCAGACCTACCCATTGTCTTTAATGGTCATGATGATGTTGATATATTACAGATATTTATGCTCAACGGATTTCATGTTGTGGCAGCAGTAGGGCAGATCATGTTACAAAATATTACTACGAAAATAATATTTCTGGAAAAATTAACAAGCACAAGAACAAAAGGATTTTTCTGGTAGGTGGTTAGTACAAGTCGAGCGAAACACTTTTTCTTTAAAACCTTATTTGCTACCTCCCAAAGGTGTTAGGAGCGTTGTAGCATAGGTTTTCCAAGATAAAACGTACTACGGTTCAATATTTGAGCACTCAAATAAAAGATCAGAACCCAGCGAATAAGAGCAAGGGATGAAACAAATTGACTAAGAAATGAAGAAGATCAGAGATTTTGATAGTTGAAAATCGTAGCCTCGTAGGAGTAGACTTAAGAAAATTCTGCTGCTTAACCAAGCTTTATATATGAGTTGATGGATTAATAGCATTTAACCATGGCATTAAATTAAAAATGATAATAAATCAGTCATTTAACCTATGTAACAATTGACCATTACTTGAGAATGAATTCTTTAATTCAAAATTGGAATTAATTCAAAATTAATTTCGTAAATGATGAATTAAAACCCAGAATGGTCAAGTTGTTAGCGTACCATGTGGCTCTGTGTTGAAAAAATATATGAAAATTTGGGTATGCCGAATGGCGAGCCGAGCCAATGGTTAGCTTACCCGAGTATGGTGCCGAATCGTTAGCCTACCATGTGGCTCTATGTTGGAAAAATATACAAAATTTTGGGTAAGCCGAATGGCGAGCTGAGCCAATGGTTAGCTTACCCGAATATGGTGCCGAATCATTACCCTATCAAGTGGCTATGTGTTGGAAAAATATACGAAAAGTTGGGTAAGCCGAATGGTGAGCCGAGCCAATGGTTAGCTTACCCGAGTCTGGTGCCGAATCATTAGCCTACCATGTGGCTCTGTGTTGGAAAAATATACGAAAATTTGGTAAGCTGAATCCGAGCCAATGGTTAGATTACCCGAGTCTGGTGCTGTGACACCCCGAAATCCAAATTCGGTTAAGGGATTAATTAAGTAATTAATCCTATTTCAATTTGTAATTTAATTCCTTAAATTCCTGAAATTTAATAGTCGGGGACTAGTAATTGACTAGTCAACCCCAAAGTCAAAGTTGTACCTTGAGCTTTGTAAGGAGTTCCCTTGTTCCTTACACCTTTCCATGTTAGTAAGGGTATTCTTGACCTTTCACCTTGTGTTAGTATTGTAACCTAACCTAGTAAGAACATCCTCATTTCTATCCTTACACTTTCCAAAATCCTAGCTCCATCTTCTCTCTAAAAAGGTGGATAGCTTTTCTTCCAAGCCAAGTTGAAGCTTTGCCAAGACTTCAAGAGTTGTCTCCAAGATTCTACCTTTCATACATTTGGGCATCTAGGAGGGTAAGATCCATGTTCACCTTGTGTTTTTAGTGTTCTCTTAGGTGTCTTTTCTTAAAGATAGAATCTTTATGATCTTTTGGTATGTTCTTGAAGTGGGTTTGGAAGGTGAGCTTTGATAGGAGCTTGGTGTGGTGTTAAGTGAAGGTTTTTGGTCTACAAGAGGTAACCCATGCTCTACAAAATCTATTTTGCTTACCTATATGAATATTTCTTGGATTCTACATGTGTTTTGCTATGAAATGTGAGCGTTTATGCATTGTCTTGTGAAAATGCATATCTAGAGCTTGTGTTTAGGGTTCTTGTATGTCATTGCTTGGCTATTCCTTTGATTCAAGTCACTTCGTTGTATTTGGTGAGTTTTGGCATGTTTTGGACTTGAATTTGAGCTTGGAGTTGAAAATCCCTGAAGGGATTGTTTGTGCAGGTATGTGTACCCGCGGGCGAAACAGCGGGTAGGGGTCCAACCCGCCGCCCACCCGCGGGGTACATGAAGTTGGAGAGCCTGTACCCGTGGGCGGAACCACAGGTAGGGGCCTACCCGTGTGCCCACCCGCGGGGTACGTATTGTGGTTGTTGGGGGATTTGTTCCCCGTGATTCTTTTGACTCGGTATTTGGTCTTTTGACTTCCCGATGTTCTTTTGTGGAACTATTTGAGCGTCTTCTTGATGTTTCGTATGTCTAGAACTATATGGTAGGTATCCATGTAGGTTTTGGTGTCTTGAATCGTGCTAAGTGTTCAACATTGTGTTTCGTTGAACCGTGATGAGTCTTGTGTGTTCTTCGGAATTACGTTTGGTTTACCCATTTGATAAGCATGCTAGTTCGGTGTTTAAATGCTAGCGTGTGTGTTGTTTGTACCTTCTTATTGATTGATGATAACTTGTGTTATTCATCGTTGTTGTTGTTGGGCTGTGACCCATTCTTTGATTGAGTATGGTTTCATATCTTCGTTGTGATCCGTTGATTGATTCCTGTTGAGCTGTGGTGTGTGTGGCTTTACCTGGATTGCACGATTAGTGGTATGGGACACTAGTCACCAATGTATTGTAGTGGTCCTCGTGGTGGCCATGACGTGATTATGGAGTTGTGACATTTGTGTAAGGTTCACATATTTCTTGGGTGGCATGTGTTGTCGTGTGTGTGATCGGTACCCTCGTGTACTATGAAATCGGTGGTTCTGTTGGAGAGGGGACGACGGTCCTCGGAGGGAAAAGGTTGGACTTGGTGTACAGGGGTCCTGGAGGTAAAGGTTGGAACTAGACATAAGGTTGGGGGTAGCCATAAGGTTGGAACTGGGCATAAGGAAGGCATATCAACTCGTGATGGGTGATGTCACGAGGGCGTGTGTAGCTGTTGTTGTGAGTTCTCTTCTTGTGACGTGTGTAGTCACAATGGCATGTGTTGCCTTGGCATATGTTGCCGTTTGTTGTATCTTTATTCCTTGAGTTATGCATGTCGGGTATTAATCTATTGTGTGATAATAGATTATGCCTTGAGACTTCTTGTGAGTCGTTGTTGTTCCTTGTGGTCTTGGGATGTGTTCTGGTGTTCTTGTTGAGAGTGTTTGAGTCTTGTGTTGTCTATTACTCTTGTGTATTCCGTTTCGAAAATGCCTTTACAAACTTATATCTTACCTATGTATGATATTTCACATGTATTGGTGGGTTACCAGCATTATTCGCTGACCGGGCGTCGTCCTATGTTTTATATGCTTCTTTCAAGTGATGCTTAGACGAGTGCGCAGTCTAGTGCCAGCTAGTATAGTTTCCCTTTTATGTTTTGTGGCCTGTGAGCCAATATAGACTTAGTACTCTATTGGATGGTTGTAGATTTTAAACAATGCAGATTTAGCCTGTGCGTTCACCCCTGAGTGAGCGTGGCATAGCACCCCGTTTCCTCGTTTTATATACATCTTCTCTTTCAGTCTTCCGCTATGTTTGGTGTTTTGGTTTAAGTTATCTGCATGTTTTAATGCTTTAAATAGCATGGTTTTAGGGGTGTTACAGGTGCCGAACCATTAGCCTACCATGTGGCTCTGTGTTGGAAAAATATACAAAAATTTGGTGAGCTAAATCAGGCGCGAGTGTTCACAGGTGCCGGCGTACACAAGTCAAGTCTTTTCAAGCTCATTTTGGGATTTAATTCATACCCCTACGCACAAGAGAGACTCTATGCTATACAATTCAATAAGCCTTGGAAAGGATCTTGTATAAATAGTGGTGCAAATCGATTTCCCAAATTAATGTGGGACAAAGGCTATTTTAAAGCTTTTCCCTTCATTTTTTGAGAATCAATTTCTCATTCACCCATTATCCGTTTTGAGCGTACAATATATCATTCTCTTTATCTCACTAAGAAGAACACGAATCCACTTTGACCCAATCCAAACGGAAGTGAATCTCACTAATATTTATACCACAAAATAACCACTTATTATGCAATTTTCAAGCTATTTTTCCAACATATCATGGGTACAGAGAACATGTTTCATCTTATTATTTATAACTATTTGAACAGTCTAGATATATAATAGTAACTATGTAAAATAACCGGTAAAAAGAGGGAGAGAGCATTTCAAATATATTTTGATTATAAGCTTTGAAGGCCCCTGGCCTTTCAAATATTCTTCTTCTACATTATTGATGACTACATTACATTTAGCCATTCAAACCAACTCAAATTTGACCTATGATTATATGTTAGAATCATAATGTTCAGATTAATATTAACACCACCTCGAAGCTCTTTAATTCAAATAATGTTTTAATAGCTCATTAGAATACAAATTATTTTTGTCTCAATTCTTGATTTGTCATTAGATCAATGAGTGAATTTAAGAAATTTGTACCTTCTCAAAAGATGCTATTTCAATGTGTTAGTAATCAAGACATAAAATACTATTAGAGCATCTACACCAGTAGATATTTTCATGATTTTTTATAAATCTCATGATGAAATGGATGATAGAGAAAGTGATGAGAGAAAGACCGTTTACTAACTGGAAATTTTTGAAAACTGAAAAATA